TTATTATTATATATTAATGATTGTTGGTTGTAAAAGGTATGACTGTTGTGGTTATTTCACAGTATAACTGTTTGTAGTAGAATATGCACATGCCTTTGTTCGAAGCATTTGGAAATGACTAACGCTGACTGAACAGTATGTCTCAAAAAGGGAATAAACCTTATTACAATCAAGTCATGCGCCTCCTCCTCCAAAGACAGAGTAGAAGAATATTTTATTTCACTTATATGTACATGCTGATGAATGTGTGTGTGAGGACACAGTCCACATACCCCACCTCCCCACTGACTCTGCAACCAAACATCCAGCGTCAGATTGTTTAAACATTCCTTTCCTAAAGCCATCCATCAGCTGCAGAGAAGCTCTGCTCCTAAACCATCCCGCAGACTTTTCCTTTGCTGATAAAGCACTCAGAGCTCATGTTGTTTAACTTTAACCTCTGTTTTTGCAGCGTGCCAGCGAGTGCCACACCCGTGTACCCGCCTGTATTCTGAAACCAAGAGCGTGCCCGTCTGGGAGGGTGGTGTGTGCCATTACCTGTAAGTCACGTCAAACATACGTCTGCCAATCTGGGCTTGAATTAAATGTTTAAGTGTGGCTTAATGGATCCAATAAAAGTGCCTGCATTCTCTTTCGTAGGTATAAAAGGACATATAAAGTGCAGCAGGATGTGTGTTATCGAGAGATTTGTGAACCGACGCCTTCCAAGAAGAGTCAGAGTGAGTTAAACAATCTGTCTGCGCAATATTTGTAAGACGATAAACAAATGCAATGCTGTTCACATACCAACTTTAACTGTCTTAACAGCCAGAAGAACAAACACACAACAATAAAGGTTTGTGATTTTTTTCAGCCCTTTTTATGAACTGCTATTGTAGAGGATCACAAGATTTTCAGCACTTACCCTCAAAATGAGACTTTTCTTCTCTCTCTCTCTCTCTACAGCACTTGGAGTCTGATGAAAGGACTGTCATCACTGTCTTGTGAAAAACCTCCTTACTTCAATTTTGGTGTTTATAATCTACTTGAAGTAACTGATTATGGTCATTTTTTTTGTGCTGAAAAACCCTGTCAGAGCCCACTGTAACATTTCACAAACAAACCATCAACGGTCTGAATACGAGGCTGCATCCCGAGAGTCGCCTTTGTAGCTCGCGGTAGCACGATCAGTCAGATGAAAAATGTCCCGCATCATGTATCATTTGCAGTGTTTGCTGACTGAGTTTCATACAACCACATATGGTATGCAAATATGAATCCTAGGCAGTCAACTGCACTGCATCAGAGACCTTATATACCTCATTTCAACGTCCAATGCTGACACATTCGGAGAGGTTTACGTTTGTGATTCAGCTGCAGGTTTGTCCCTCAGGGAAGTAAAAGCAGAGTCTTTTCCTTACATCAGTCCCATCATCTCCTTACAAAGACAGCAGGAAATGTGTACTTTCACCCTTAAACTGATCTCGTCCTCTGACAATGATGCACAGCGTTTTCTGTGTAGAATATGTTCCTCTGTGTCTCAGCAGGCGTCGCTGCTCACTAATCTGTAAATAGTGTTTATAGGCCATTTTGTAGGTGAATATTTTAATAATAAAAATGTTAAAAGTATTCCTGGTGTGTGTGTGTTGCAGTTCTTGCCATCATTTGTCACACTGTGTTGAATCTATCGTGTTTTGACAGCATCAAAAACTATACTAAAAGTATTTTATTAACAGATTAAAGGAGAGCGGTTGTACTCATTTTTAGCTCCATTATACTGTTTTTGGAATCTATTACAGTAGCGTAGCACAATTTAGCATTAGTTCATGGCTCAGTCTTGGTGCAGTGCCTCAGTTCGCCCTGTCTGAAACAAGCTGGTTTAGCTCATGTCATTTAATGTGTTGCCCCTAATAAATGGTTTGAATAGCAGGTAGGTGGAGTTGTGTTCCACAGATGACCATATTAGGGACATCCTGTTTCACTGACAGGCATCATGCAAAGCCAGAGTAGGAAAAAAATGTCCATAGGCTATGTGCAAAAGATAGATGTGACCACCTTGGCATCTATATTTTGAAGACTCAGATTTTTAGGCATGACTATATTTGTGTTTGTCTGTTTGTTTTGTGCTTTTTTAGAGCTATAAATTACCATATTTAGAGATTGCTAAGCTATCAGCTAACACTGACAACTTAGTTTATTAGTACTTTTGTGTGGTGCTAATGAAGTGGCATTTATAAATTGTACAGCGGCTCACAGAAATGGAGATATTTTCTGATTAATGCCAAACCAACATCCAAATAAACATCGTGGAATTTCACTCTTTAAACACAGACCGCTTGGATGGTGTGCACTTTACAGCAAGCCAGATGAATGCATTAAAACTGCTACAAAATACACCAACAGCTCAAACACGGTTAAGTGCTACAGTTTAATGATACTGCTTGGTAAAGGTGAAGCCTAAGAGACCGACCAGTAATTATCCGCTTGTTATAAAGGAGGAAATTAACTACAGAGCTCAAAATCTTTACCAGGCTGTAAAAGTATTGTTTATATAGCTGAAATTGACTATTTAAACATGAGAATCTGTGGAAACGGACTCACTTTTGGAGCCAGCCTTTAAGAATCTGAGCAACTGCAGTTTTTGGTTCACTAACTCTGCAATCTGAAGCTTGAGTTTTGGGCTCCCAACCTCACTCCCTGGCTACTTTTAATATGAGCATCCACCTGTGTTACAGTATAAGTTTGACAGAAAATAAGGAAAAGCAGAATAGGTTCATTTTAAGAAGAAAAAACACCCATAACTTTGTTTACTCTGTTAATGGAGACATTTTTAAAAAAGTTTACTACTGAACGTCACTGCTCTTCTCTTTGTTCCTGTGTGTGTCTGGTTTATTGAGTTACTGAAGCATGCAAAAGTGGGCAGAGATGCAAAATTAAAGACTCCAAATCCAAACTTTAGCTTTAATCATTAAATTAGGCCAATTTGGGACATACTTCATGAAAGAAAACAGAGCATGGGCATGCCTTGTGTTTTGTTAATCAATCACCCCAGTCAGAAAGGAGACTGCTCTATCAGAACCATCACCACATAACAAAAGCTTCCTCGCTGCTGTAATTTGTCTGCCTAACGCCCTGTAGCCATGAGTCTCTAGCTCTGCCAAAGTGACTCTTCTAAGCCTCAGGCTATATACAGACAGGGGTCAAATTAAAGGCGAATGTAAACTAAATAAAGAAGAAAAAAAAGATGATGAAGGGCCACTGATCGATGAGAAAATAATATAAATAATATTTACCAGAATTCAAAGCAGCTGGAGGCAGATGAAATATTAATTTGCCATATTAGACCCACTTGTTTACTCCCTTAAAGAAAAGCCTCACACCAGAGCCACTGGGGTATTGTTTATATTACAGTGGAACAGCTGATAAGGACACTGCAGTGAGTGTCACAACAACTGGATGTTCTCAAGTAAAGGACATGCCCTCCATGCCAAAAGTCCAAAGCTGAACAGACAGTGAAGCAAGAAATTTCAAAGAAAGCTTCCACTGAAACTGAGAAGCTGTGCCACCCAGATCCTTTAAGGATTTTCAAAAACTTCTTGACGACCTTAAGTTGTTTCATCAGTATATCTATGAACTGTTATACAGAACATGTAAACAACAAAGTCGTTTCTCCCTTTCACATCTGCTGGACTCAGAGACCAGTGTTGCTAATCCAGGAAACTTTCCATGACTGGAAAGAGGTGTTGTTGGTGCTCTGATAATGTTTAATCATAATCATTGATCTGATGAGATCAAATATGTGAATTTCTTTGTGAACTTAAACCTAAAAGATAATGTCATTCCTTTATTAAACAATTATTTTTTTCAGTTTTTCTCCTAAATATATCTGTTTTTAATATTTTTGTTCCTTTTTTCTTTTATTTACCTTTTATCTCGTAGTAGATTTATTTTTAAACTGTCATTTTTTACTAAAAGAATTTAAAATTTGTCTTGTAAATATTTCCCTCACAATTTATTTAATTTTAAAAAATAAATATGTTTGGGGTTTTTTTAATCACACGATTTCAACTTTTTCCTCTTCAGTTTGCCTTTTCATAAATATTACATTGTGTCTCATAAAATTTCCATTTTTCTCATAAATTTTAATAATTTATATCAATCTGGAACTTTTTGCCATACATTTTTGTCTTTTGTCATTATAGCTTTTTCTCATGCTTTGTTTTTTTGTAATTTGCAATCCCTTTCTTATAAATTTAATTGGTGTTTTTTTCTTTTTTCGTAGACTTTACAATTTTTTTCTTGTAAATTTCCAACCTAAATCACCGACCCAACAAAAAACAACATTTTTTTAAACTCTAACATGCCATCTAGATAAAGTCAGTCTTTTTTCCACTTTATGCACTCTTTATATCTTTGTTTGAGGCATGCGTATCTTTTAATGCAGAAATTATAATAATAATAAATAAATGACATTAACTTGTTGTTTCCTTATTGTCCGCTGGCTGTAACATTTCCGACGGCACGTGAAGGCAGCAGAAGCCAGAGCGCTGCGCGCCCCCGTTGCCCCCCTTTCTGCCCGGAGTGAAAACTGAGAGGAAAAAGCGTCGGGAGCAGAGACCATGGAGGGGGGAAGCTGGATGTATTAGCTAGTTTGCTGCTTAGGGCACTTTTTACTCTTCTTTCTCTTCTACCCACAGAAATCAAAGCGTCTCAATGTGGAGATATCCGGTGTGTATTTTACGTGGCTCGTAAATCTCCTGAACAGTCAAACAATCAACTGCGAGTCGGACCGCGGACGGTTAGCACAGCCTGACTGAAAGTTAGCCCGCTCCGGCTAACTTAGCCCGCTCCAGCTACCACGAAAGGACAAAAAAACAACTAAAAACACGATAGTGAGTAAGAGTGTCGGGGCTTGAAGTAACTCGTAATGTTGCCTCCCGGGATTAATTTCAGATACGGATGAGAAAGAAATTCTCTGGGAACAGCGAGAACAACAGCGAGCCAGACAACCACCGTCGTTATGCTGGGGTTGATCCGCGGCTCCGGCAGCCCGTCCGAGTCCCGAGTGTGGCCGCACTCGGTGCTCTGGAGGCTGGGGGGCTTCTTCTTCCTGCTGCTGCTGGAAGGGGCCGGCTGCCTGGCCAGCCCGGGCAGCCCCGTAGGCGTCAACAACAACAACCCCGGAGTCAACATCTACATGAGTGTGGAGGAGGTGAAGAAGCTCCTGGGTAAGGAGGCCTGCATAGTAATCCAGCTGTGTTCAAACTTTGCAATCTGCCCACTTGTGTATGTGTTTGTGTGCCCCTCACATCTGTAAATTTAGCTTTAAAACTTGGACGAACTCAACTGTTACAGCTAATTGTGCAGGTACATTATATCAATCATTTACAGCTGTGATTCTTTTCTATTATTTTTTTCTAGTGTTCCCGCTGTATTTGTAAAAGTAAAAAAAAAATTCTCATAAATTCTCAATTTTTTTTCTGGCAAATTTGTGAGTTTTCTCTTCTAATTGTGTTAGTGTTTCATAAAATATTTTTTCTTAAAAAATTGCCCCCTTTCCCGTATATTTCACCGTTTTTGTCTTTTGAAATTGCCCTTTTAATCCTAAATTTGCCAGTTTTTGTCCATTTGATTCGTCAATTCGTTTGTGGGGATAAATGTTGCTTTTTTGGGGGGGGGGGTTTCTTTTACTTTTCTCTTTTAATGTCGTATTTTTGCGCATTTGTCTAATGAATTTATCCGTTTATCTAGGAAATATAGGAGTTTAAAAATATTTTAACATTATCACTTATATTCTTGTAAATTGGCAAGTTTTTTCTTAATTTAAGATTTTTTTTAAAGATTTTTTTGTCTAATTGCCAATTTTTTTTTGTTCTATTTGGTAAATTTGCAAGTTATTTCTTGAATATTTATTTAAATTTTTCCTCGTGAATTTATTAGTTGAGTGCCAGTGTCACTG